TTTAAACATTATAATATTAATGTTAATAACTTAATCGAAATTTACACTTTGTTAAAAAGTTATTGCAGGTCTGTTCTAACTCAAAATAAAATGTACATATAGAAGGTGTTTAGATACTTATAGATTTACAAACCCTTTTTTTCGTCAATATAACAATGTATATTTTTTTGATCTTGAGGATGACCCACTGGGTACAGTTTAAGTTCAGCCTTCTTGTGCACTTTCTTGGTACAGTTGTGTCAAACCAATTTCTTATGGGATTATGGCGTTATCTATCTATCTCTATCTCTATCTCTATCTCTCTCTCTCTCTCTCTCTCTCTCTCTATATATATATATATATATATATATATATATATATATATATATATATTAATAATAAATGTAAGTCCTTATTCTTAAAAATCTTTTTCTCTGTGTTCTTTCAGCAAATGGAATGAACGATCCAGCGTCTTCCAGCATAGGGAGCGCCACGAGTCCTAAACTTGAGCCCCCTCCCTCTCCACACGCAAACCGCAAGAAACACAGACGGAAAAAGAGCACAGGCATCACCAAGCCGGATGGGCTGTCAGCAGGCAATGATGGTATGAAAACATTTCTTTACCCTTTGTTTTTTCCTAAACCGAAAACAGTTACAAAGTTAATAGGAAAGACTAAGGTCATTTTCTTGGAGCAATAGTAAAAGTAGAAAGTTAGAACTTGAAAAATCAACCAAAGAAAATGAACAAATATATTGAAATTGCTGCTTCGCTATGTCATTGTTTCCTTTAAATTTGTTTAAATTTTCAATACAAATGTCCTGCGAATTTTGAGCGTACTTTCAAACTTTTGAAAAAAATAAATAAATATAGAAAATGTGAATTAGACATGTTTCAATCCATCGGGGTGAATAAAGCAGTGATGCAAAACATAAAGTCATCGTATATTTAGGTTACACTTGGCTGCAATAAACAGGAAGTAAAGGTAGCAACTAGCACAGACCACTGATCAGTGGAAGAATATAGTTTTAATGCATGTGTTGCAAGTTTTACTTACTTTATTAAATCAGTATTAGCCATGTAACTCATAGGCATGTGGTGAGAAGATTTACATTCAGCATGAGTTCAAACCCCACACTGCTCCCTGGGCGGTGCACGATGGCAGCCCACTGCTCCCCAAGGGGATGGGTTGATAGCAGATGTAAATTTCTCCAATGTAAGATAAATAAAGTAAAATTATTGTTATTAGTCATGTGAGGTAAATATTTGCTACGTCAGAACTTATTCGACAGATTTGTTTCTATCTCCTCTTAAGCACGTTTACTCCTTTACAGTAAAGTCAAAAACCACCTCTTGTGAGCGTAAACGTTTTTTTTCAGAATTGAGTACCTTGATTCAAATGGTGCCGTTCTCATCAAGTTCTTTTAACCTGATACTTCAAAATGTGTATTCGAAAAAGACATGGATGAAAACACGTTTATGGTCGGTTTTCTATTTGTCTTTTTACTTTGTAGCAATTCATGTTAAGATTCAGTATCTTGTGTACTTCTGTTCTTTGTTCCTGCTTTTTATTTTTTGGTCTTCATTTGTATCTCTGGAAGTAGTTGGAAGCAGTTTTAGAAGAAGACCAGCTTGAAATGGGACACAAATGCCTAAAAATCAGCTGAAATCTCTCCGATCTGTTGTGTTTATTAGCGACAGCTAACCATCCTGTTCATGTGCTCGTTATGATGTCATCATCCAAAAATCACACACAGTAGAAGTTTTTTCCATCAGTACATTTTATATGCTGTAAAGTATGTAAAGGAGAAACTTATACTTTATTATCCAGCTGTCATATTAATGTGTTTATCTTTTAAGCATAAAAAATAGACCCCTTAATAGAATTTTTACAAGATTCTATTCTGTAGCTATCACATTTCTAGATTCTTTTTTAAAAACAACCCATCAAATGAAATAGGACCATGTAATGGCCGAGTTTCTGACTTTATGTGTGTATGATGAATATGAAGGTGTATAGTTTTGTGTCCCAATGTGGCCCCCTGCGCAGCCTCAATTTATTTTACCGTTGCATGAATAGTGAATGTGGCCATCCTCAGCAGGGGAGTGGCAGTCGGCTCTCCACCCAATTAATAATGATTCTTCAGCCCAATGATGAATGGAGCGCCCTAATTGGATGGCATTGTGAAAACACTGAGACGCATTTCAGAGGCCATAAAACTGATGTCACCGGAGTGGGATGATCAATCAACAAGATTGATATGCTGGATAACAACAACAATGGCATTGACGCCTTCTAAATGGGGCTTAGCATTTATAATCATTATACTTTTTTATCCCAGACTCTGACAGTTCCTCTTTAAAGTCTGAATGGGTCTGTTGACCACATTGTTGTACAGGGGGAGCATCATCAGCATCACGGTGATAAGTGGCGGGAGATAAGTGGTGCTGCTAGTGTCTTATGTGGTGATATGTTCCTCTGTTTCAGTAGTCATACTGCGCCAAATACTTTAATATTGATGATTTGGAGTCATTATTTATATTCTAACAGTACGCTATGAGCTCTAGCTGTATGTATGTACAAAATCAGCCTGCAACTCACAGCATCCTTGCTTGAATTATATTTGACATTACTTTGCTCTTAATGTGTCTTGTGGCACATGAAAATTCTTAGCTGAGTGACAGCTGGCATTATCAAACATCTTCCAACTTATCTGTTTTTCTGTTTACTCCTGAGCTTCTTGAGAAGGAAGTTTAAGAGCAATCAGACCGGAGGAGGCAGATTCCGAATATTTCTCACATCATCAAACATGCACATTGTTTTCTATCTATCTTATTCCTCTCTGCAAGGTTTTCTATTAGCATCAGCATGTCTGTTCAGCTGAACGCTCTGCAATACAGACATATCGCTTAAATATTGGATTCACCCAATTCTAAGGGTATGAGCTGCATGTCCCGTTACAAAGAATAAGAGAGAGAGAGATAGAGGAGGTAGTGAATAAAAAAAAAAAGAGGAGAGGTGGGATCCTTGAATAAATTGCTATCAGTTTATCTCATTTACAGGGCAATCAGAGGCATGCACTGCGGGCTGAAATTGAATTTTAGTAGTTGTGATGCATCATAAATCAAAACAGCACGAGCGTTTTAAGGTGAGATATCATTTTGGTCAGCATGGGACTTGTGGGAGCCTGGAGAAACTGTCGCTGCATCATTTCTGAATATATCACCACTCCTGTTTCTTAGAAACAGTCCGCTCAAGGACTGCAAAGAGGAACTAGATATATTCACAAATGGGTATGAGGGTGCAATTTAGTTTTAAATAACACCGCAGTTTTAATTAATCCCAGTACACAAGTTTAAAGATAACAATGTTTGCATCATTTAATTGCTTTTATTTGCAAAGAGAAGCAAAAATTATTTCTACTGCTGCTCAAATATATATAAAATAAATATAATATATAATTATATTTATAGATAGATATTGTTTGTTTAGCATAGAAGGTCTTCTTTAGCAGAAAATGATTGTTCCAACTCTGCTATTTGTGAAGTAAATTTTTAGTTTTCAGTCTTCAGTGTTTGGCAGCGTTCAATTTCAGTCCGGTTTACTCAGCTTAATACAGTTTATTTATCTGGCGCCAGTTCGGGACAATTGTCATCTTTAAGCTCTTAGCAATAGAAGTTATTTTCAGTTACTTTTGAAAACTTTGGCATAAAATTATACAACTAAAAGTATGTCCATTCACAACCTATTGGGGGCTTATTTTCACATTCAGCTCACAAGTCTAAATGATACAGGATGGTTCATAAGAGAGTGGAAAAACAGTTTTAGAGTAAAGCTAGGTCTCCCCTAATTTTCCTGCATGTCCAAATAGAAAACAGGTTTCAAATTCTTTCCTGTTGGTTTCTTGAAAGTGCGAATTGTCGTGAGCTGCTCACCGCTAACCAGTAGTGCTATCTTTAAAAGGCTTTCAAATAGTTTTCATTTTCTCTGAATTCTGTTTTTACCAACAAAACCCAAATACTGCCCCATTGAGCATTTGAACGTGCCGTTGGCTTTTTCGGTGTGCTGAGTGACATCAGCAAGCTAAGCCCTCTCCATTTGTTTTTATGCAGCCTCCCGATAGAAAAGCACGCCCCACACGCTGTAAAGGTGTTCGCAAAAAGGAGTAGCTGAATTTGAGTAGTTTCTTTTTAATAGCTTTATGGAAAACACTGAGGGAATAAATATTGCTAAATGTTTAATAGATGTATAAAAATGGCTTAAACGCCTATAAGCCCAAATACAAACAAAACTGATCACCAGTGTCATCTAGTGTTTCAAATTAGAACGGCAGTGAAAGTTGTGACTCTCGAGCTCAAGTGTAAAGCCAGAGGGACGTTCCTTATATAGACATTGCATGAAGATATAACTGTGGCTTTAGCTGACTCTGTAAACACATCAAAGCACTACTTCCTGTCTTTCTTCAAAATAAGAGTCTCAAACAGTGGTACAGTGTGTCAAGCTTGAACCACTCAACTCTATATTCGGCACACAATATATGTAAGGTTACTTTCAGGCAGTCTAATGCTTACTGCAACTCTATAGCTCTATAGCTATAAATAGATATTTTGCTAAATCTTATTCTTCAAGATCCTGCTGGAACTCCTGCAACATATTGGTTATTATTGTCAATTGTCCTTCAAATGGCCATGATCTAATGTTTGTACGTAGAGCCATATATTGACTGTCTCTCCCGGACAGTGTGCTAAACTTCCATCAGGATTATGTGCAAGGGACAAAGCCCCTAATATCTGACGCACTGTCAGAGCCGTGTGCTGTAATGAACTTCTCATGTGCTTAAAGAGTGATGCAGGATGCATGGCGAGACAACTGACAGCCCCGTAATGTGTTTCCCAGCAGCCGCCTGGCGACGAGCTTTCTCCGTGTGTCGCTCGCCATAAACCCACTGGAAAATCGATGGCCGATAAAGACTTGTGTTCAGGGGGAGCCCGTCTGATTAATGCAGACTGTCAGAGAGCATCATTAATGTATTTCTCTTTTTTGGGAGGGGGGGCAAAGACCGTCAAACGCTCATTGTTTGTTGGGTTTAGTGTGAATCAAAGATGGAAGTGATTTAATCGAAACAAATTGTGATAAAAGGCTCCTGATGTTTCAAGTTTTTATGAAGGATGATATTTATTCTTCTTAATGTCATGGAAATTACAGAGACAACGAAAGCTAATGGTGGGCTTGAATGCCTTTATGTCCAAAGGTGTTTAGGTACTGAGATATCATATTTAAAGTAAATTAACTCACAAATAAAATGTAAATTTTTTAAAAGGAACAAAAAAAATTATATTACCGTTTTGTAAATCTAACATCCTTTGGTCACAGTTCCTACATTTATTTGACTTTTTTGTTTTAGGTATTTTAGATTGAACTTGTAGCACTTTTGATAAAACTGATACAATTTGCAGAGTAAAAATGGGAAACATCTGGATCCTCGACAGGATTCCAGAGATTTATCATCTAAAGGGGAAGGTACATAAATGTGTTTCAATGAAAGGAATTTTTTCATACAATTGAAATCAGTTATTAGTTGATTTGAGTAGAGAAATATGATACA